GCCGTGCCGTCGTTTGGCTACTTGTTATTGGAATTTGGGAGACAGGTTGCTGGGAGAACTGCTTCCTGGAACCACACCCCAGAGTTCAGCCTGGGTTGGGGTTGAGGGTCAGAGTGCACTCACTCTGCCCTAGTTTAGGGCGCTGAAGCAACGGCATTCAAAGAGCTGTCTCTACTTCGGATTTTTAAATGCAGTCAGTTCTTTTAAACGTTCGTTCGCTTAAACAAATATCATTTTAAGACGAGTACTGGAAAAAAATAGGTGAGATGGTCATATAAGACTTAGCGTTGACACATATCAGGTTTAATTTTGGGTATTCTTCACTCTTTTGCTTTGCAAAAAAAAAGAAGAGGAGGAGGAAGAAGGAAGAAGAGGAAGAAGAAGAAAGAAGAAGACAGAAGAAGAAGAAGAGGAAGAAGAAGGAAGAGGAAGAAGAGGAAGAAGGAAGAAGAAGAATGAAGAATAAGAAGAGGAGGAGGAAGAAGGAAGAAGAGGAAGAAGAAGAAAGAAGAAGAGGAAGAAGGAAGAAGAAGAAGAGAAGAAAGAAGAAGAAGAAGAGGAAGAAGAAGAAAGAAGAAGAAGAAGAGGAAGAAGAAGGAAGAAGAAGAAGAAAGAAGAAGAAGGAAGAAAAGAGGAAGAAGGAAGAAGAAGAGGAAGAAGAAGAAAGAAGAAGAGGAAGAAGGAAGAAGAAGAAAGAAGAATGAAGAATAAGAAGAGGAGGAGGAAGAAGGAAGAAGAGGAAGAAGAAGAAAGAAGAAGAAGAGAAGAAGAAGGAAGAAGAAGAGGAAGAAGAAGACAGAAGAAGAAGAGGAAGAAGAAGGAAGAAGAGGAAGAAGAGGAAGAAGGAAGAAGAAGAAGAACAAGAACAAGAACAAGAACAAGAAGAACAAGAAGAAGAAGAAGAAGAAGGAAGAAGGAAGAAGAAGAACCATCACAGGATTCAGGGAGCCTTTGGAAGGAGGGATGGAAGATGTTCCTGAGGCCTTTATATCAGGGAGCAGAGAGATTTCATGGTTTGGAAATGGGGAGGAGGATTATCTCGTGAGCTGGAGATGCGGCAAAAGGTGCCTCACCAGCCTCACCTATTACCGTGTTTCCCCTAAAATAAGACCTCCCCAAACCCCAGCAGGATGTCTAAAGCAGTGTGCCATAGAAAGCCTACCTGAAAAAATTCTAGCCCTAATGATGGGCGTGGACATGAAAATCAGCCCTGGTGATGGGCGGGCTATGAGAAAATCAAGCCTCCTGTGTCGGCGTGGCTGATGAAAATCAGTCTGGTGATGGGGCTGTTATGAAAACAAACCCGTAAGGGTGACGGGCGTGCTATGAAAATCAGCCCTAGATGATAGCCGTGGCTATGAAAATAAGCCCCAGTGACGGTCGATGGCTATGAGTCAAATCAGCCTTCAGTGGTATGTGGGACAAAGTGCTATGAGATCAGCCCTAGTCGGTGGGGCGTGAATGAAAAGTCAGCCGGCTGGGTGATGGGCGGGGCTATGAAAAATCACAGCCCTAGTTGAGGGCGGTGGCTATGAAAAAAATAACAGCCCCTAGAATAGTGATAGGCAAGGGCTATAGAAAATAAGCCCCAGTGACGGCGTGCTATGAAATCAGCCCTACGGATGCGGTGGGTATGAAGATCAGCCTAGTGATGGGCGTGCAGTGAGAAGATTCAGAGCCCTGGTTAATGGTGGGCGGTGGATAGTGAAAATCAGCGCGCTGGTGGAGGCCGGTGGCTATGAATCAGGCCCCCCGTGAAGGGCGTGGCTATGAAAAAATGCCCGTAGGACGGCTGGCTGGCAGCGATCTGCACAACCCATGCGTGTTCTGCGCGGGCGGACTAAAGACACGACAGGCCATTCTCATCGTGCCCGTAGAGAGCGTCTAGGTGCCCACAAGGAGAGACGGGGCCAGTGTTGCATGAAAGGAACTGATCGGCCAGACATTCAGGATGGGATTCGGTGGTTGTGGAGAGTGGAGGATTGGAGGGTTCCAGAAGGGGAAAGGACGACTCCACACTATCTTGAAAATGGAGATGGTTGCACCGTACTTAAAAAAAAACAAATACAACATCCCTGAAATCAGGCCGTAGGGTGTCGTTCTTTGAGAAAAATACAAGTATAGGACGCGCGGACTATTTCCGGAAACCACGGGTATTATGTTCCCTGTTCCAACAGACTGTCGCAACCAGGAAAGGAGGGAAAAGTAAGCACCCCAACTTCCGTCATTGCCTCAGGGCACCGCTCCCGTCCTCTCCGAGCACGCCTCCTCCCACCCGGAAACGGAAGAGTAGCTGTCCGGGTCGCGCAGGACGCTGGAGCCCGGCGGCGTCGTCCCGAGCCTCAGCCGGAAGCCGTCCTTCCTTCGGTGGCTGTTGCTTTGAAGCGCAGCGTTGTCCGGCGGGGCCGGCGGGACTCCGCGCGGCCGCTGCAGTAGCCCTCCTCCGTCCTGTGGGCGGATACGGAGCGAGGCCGGTTTCCCGCGGGCGTGGCGGCGCGCGCGAGCGAAGCCGGGCGTGCCGTGCCGTGCCCGGCCGCCGTCCCTGTGCGCTCTCTCTCTCTCTCTCTGTCTGTCTCTCCTTGCGAGCCGAGCGCCGGCCGCGCGGGCCGCCGGGCGGAGACGCCCCGAGAGCGGCCGAAGGCGGCGCTGGTATGAGCGCTGCGGGGGGACCGGGGCCGGGCTCGCTGGCGCCGTTCGTGCGCGGCGGTTGGGGCGGGAGGAGAGTCCGGGCCGCGGAGGGGGGAAATTAATGGGTTAGAGGCAGCGGGCGCGGGGCGAGGTAGGCGGGTTGCCAGCGGACGCGGCCTTGGGCCGGAGAGGCCCTCACCTGAAGTCCGTGAGGCGAGGGGTGTGCCCGTCACGCGTGGGTGCAGTGGAGGGTTGGCGTTTTGGTTTTTTTTTCCCCCTCTCTGTTGTCCTGACACCTAGGCGGCTTGATGTCTGGGCACCCCGACCCCCACCCAGTGGAAATTGCCCATGGCAGGTGGTGGCGTGACGGCCGGCGTGAGTGGCAGAAAGTGCAAGCCGATGCACGGAGATCATGCAAGAGGGAGAGTGGGTAGGGTTGTTTGGAACTGTGTTGCGGTTTGTTTGGTTTTTTTTGTTTGTTTTGCACAGCTAGGAGTGCAGTGGCGTCAGCCTGCACACAGAACGTCAAGACCCGCTGCCAGACGATCCGTGCGCTCAGCTCCCCGAGTAAGGGGGACTACAGGATATCCGCCAGCCATGCCCGGCTCATTTTCCTAGATTTTATTGGCTCGAATTAAGTTCTGCATGTTTATTAGAGATAGGGTCTCGATCTTGCTCAGGCTGGTCCTCTGAACTCACTGAGCGCTCGAAGCAATCCACCTGCTTCAGCTCCAAAGTGCATAGGATGACAGGATGACCACCTGCGGCCGCTAGACCTTTGTTCTTCTTTATGTCGAAGAATAGGGATTCGATAGACATAGAAGATCTGCTTTTGCAGAGGTTTTGTTTGAATTATTAGGTGCTTTGTTCTGGAGGTAACTATGTTATTAGTATCTGGGGCATTATTGCTCTGCGGTTTTATCCGTAAATTAAGAAGTGTTCTTCTGCGACAGCCAGGATGCATGCACCAAATTTGAGAGAAATCGTTGCTCAATGTACAGTCTGGGTGGTAAGATGTGCCATAATTGTCTTTCAAAGTGCTGTCCGCATCCGGGATGCAATCAGGAAAAACATCATTGGAATGTACTGTCGTTTCCATCAAGTCTGTTTAATCTGGTTGAGACAGATTAATCCATCAGAATAACAGTACGAGGTGTTCTTGCTGCAGCCCACGTGCACTTCGAGCCACGGTTGGGAAATGTTGGCTGCGCTAGCATGTGCAGAAACCCGTGTTCAAATTTCCATGACAAAATGTCCTCTCCAAAGTGCTGCCTTCTCTTATCTAAGGATCGATCAGGGAACAAAGGATGCAGTGTGAAATGTACTGGTATTTCTCCTGTAAGTCTTTGTTTAATCTAGGAACAGTTCCGCCCACCCTTCCTCTCTTTTTTTCTTTTTGTCTTCTAACACTATGAGTTTTCAGAGCCTGTACTTTCTTTGTGAAGTCCTGCAAATTGGAGTTGTCTAATTTTTTTTTCCCCACACAACTAGATTCAGGTTAAACATTTTGTCAGGAAGGTTACCTAAGTGAAACTGTGTTCTTAGTGCCATATACATATAATATGCATTTCAGGTTGGTTTATCCCATCAGTGGGAAGTTATTGTTTGGTTAAGATGGTGTCCACCTGATGATTCTCCATTGTAAAGAAACCTTTTTGCCTTTTGTGTTTAAAAAGTGTTCTTTGGCATAATACTTTGAAACTGTGTGAATATATTGCTCCCAACAATTTTTTCACCCAAAGATCCAGTGATGTTTTTTGCCTGAACTGTGTATTATATATGGTGGTTGGGCAATTCACTTTTAAAAACGTAAACCAGTACACTTAAACTTTTTTTATTGTGTAATATATGTAAAACCGTACAAATGAAATGCATGGCTCAGTGATATAGTGCAGAATAAACACCCTAAATGAACAGATTTTAAAGAGAATATTCTAAAACTAAATTTTAGTGTCGAACTGTCGTGTACAGTTTGAATATTTTTGTAGAGAAACTGAACACAGTAAGCTAGATTCATCCTACCTCTTGGTCACTGCTAATCATTTAAATTTAGAGGAGTCACAGTATGGCAGATCTGGATAGACTGAACCAGACGCATGTTTCATGTTTCTGAAATTACCTGCATGTGGTTAAAAAGACATGACAACAAAACATCCCTGGATTTTTATTTTTTATTTATTTTTTAAATATTTATTTTTCATTATTTTTTGTATTTTTTTTTTTTTTTTTGTCTAACCAATGAAAGTATGTGTTTTGCTGAATGGATTTTTAGGTGTACTTGAATTTTTCCCAAAATTTTTTCAAAAAGTAATGAAGTTAAATTGCATAGAACAATATTTTTGACTTTAGGTATACCTATTAGTGAGCTTTGAAATCAGTTTAGTGGGCAATTTGAAAAAATTTAAATAGAAAATGTCAAAAGCCATCACACATAGTAAGGTGCTTATTGCGTGTGAAACTTTGTGGACTTTATATACCTATGTATGTTTGTGTTGGATCTCAGTGTTAAAATTGTTTATGTAGATCCTAGTCAAAAAATATAAAAGCCAATTTAGAATTTGAATATAAGATGCATTTTAATGAAAAAACAGACTTTAAGTTCTGCTTTAGTGGTTATGGACACATATACTGGGTAAAAAAGCAACAATAGAAAAGATAGAATGGGAAAAAAATGGAGAAGAAAGCGGTATGTGGAAGTTTATTCTAGGGCCACTGAAACTAAAATAAGACTTGTGGGGGTACTTGGAGATGATAAAGAGAATCATATAATTAGAGAGGCAGGTGACATTTAATTTTTGACAGCCATGTTTTGAGCACCTACAGTATGCCAGGCCCTTGTTTATATAGGCAAATCATCCAAGGCTAATGAATTCAGTAGTTACCATTACTGTGGTTTTACATTTCTCCTGCAAAAGGTTTATTTAATCCAAACTGGCTTTATGTGATGCCTTTTTACTCAGCTCCGAGACCTACCTATTTGGATCTGAGATTTTTTTCTAAGAATAGGCAGTATGGTTCTCCTGAGAGCAATTAGTTCGTATTTAATGTTCTTTTAAAATAGATGAAGCCAGCATTATTAAGTGTTGAAGGGACACACAATTGTAGTTAAATTTTTGTTCAGATTTCCTAATTAAGTCTTTTTTAAATTTTTTTAAATGTCAGCTGGTAGTTCTTTATTTCTGTTTAAGTGCTTCCTACATGAAAACAATGAGGAGGTTGGACCTGTCATTAAGTATATACATGAAACAGTTAATTGCCTTAGAGTTTTCACTTAATGATCTGAAAAACAAATGTTACAGAGTTGTTAAACATTTTGAATAGGCATAAAACTACACTGTCTTCATCCTTAAAAACATAATTTGCAGGCTTAGTTTACTACAGTATTTTTCTTTTTAAACCTAGCAATTCCTGATGACCAACAAACTGGACACAGCAATGTGGCTTTCGCGCTTGTTCACAGTTTACTGCTCCGCTTTGTTTGTCCTGCCTCTTCTCGGGTATGTATTGTTTATGTTGCTCCTTTGCTGTTCAGTTGTTCAGTCAGTTTATATTATATGGGATGCCTTTAAGGCGTAAGGCTTGTTAAACTGTAAAGGGTTTAAAGACAAACAAAATACAAGACCCAACCTTAAGACACTAATAAGCCTAATACTGTTGTCGTCAGCTGGAGGAATATTTTGTATCTTGTGGTTTGTGAAATTGACATCACATTGAAAATCTGAGGAAAAAGCAGATGTGTGGGAATGAGATGAATTCATGTGTTTTGAATTTTTTTCAACTGGACAGGGAAAATCACTGCTTTACGAAATTCAGTTGGGCATATATACATGAAGTTATGCTTGTAAGGAGGTAGAGTAAGTTCAAGTCATTTTTTTTTTTTCCTATTGACAGTTAAATGATTTAGGTGTTGTGCAATCATGATGCAATTCACAGAGGAGGAAGAGACCTGGTGGTTGTTTATGTCTCCTGATAACCTCTCCTCTGGTGATTCGCAGGTTGCATGAAGCAGCAAGCTTTTACCAGCGTGCCTTGTTGGCAAATGCTCTTACCAGCGCTCTGAGGCTGCACCAGAGGCTGCCACACTTCCAGTTAAGCAGAGCATTCCTGGCCCAGGCTCTATTAGAAGACAGCTGCCACTACCTGCTGTATTCGCTCATCTTTGTCAATTCCTATCCCGTTACAAGTATCCTTTTCTACCTTTTTGGCAATGAAGTAACCAACTCTAGAGGAGGTCTCTTCTGATTATTTCAGCAGTGAGGCATTCCGTGAAGCCTGAGTTTTTTTTTGCTGCTTCATTTAAATGTGTGAGAATTTCTGACTCCGAAATATGAAGCCTTAACTTTGAAGAGCTAATTTGGAAAATTTAAACTTTGTCTTTCTTTCTCCTTGCCTCTTGTACGCTTCTCTATTGGAATAGATTTTTAAAAATTCAGATTCAAAGCAAGGCTATGCAGAACTCACTTTAGTATTTAAGATTTTCTTTAATTTATATCGTCTTTGGGAAAGTGTCCAGATGTCTTTAAAAAATAAAGGTCCTCAATCTTTGCTTTTCTTAACTCCCAGTGAGCTAGAAACAAGTGGAAATTAGCCAAGAAATAACTTATTTCACTAGAGAATGGGAGGATTAATAATAATATTTGCTGCAGATAGAGTAGAGGATAGGGCACATGTGGATAACCCCTGGAGTTAATGAGAATTAAATAACTCATTTGGAATTTATTTATATGTTTTCACATTTAAAAAGTGTGTTGTGGGAAGAGAAATGGGTATTATTCCAAAAAGGAGGGGAAGAATGAGAGAGGTCCACAGCCCAGTGTATTTGGGAAACGCTAGGTTAAACATTTTTAAATGGGATTCTTTACCTGGGAACCTTTGATATTCTGATGTGCCTTGTGAAACTAAAAGAGTTATTAACCGTGTTTTGTAACTTTTTTTGGTGATTTTTTTTTTTCCTGTTGATTGTCCCTCTGGAAATTCTGATATTTTTGGGGGGTTTTTTGTGTGTGTGTGCTTTGAGAAGTGCTGCTTTAATAGCTTTTGAATATTTATGGTACAACTATACATAATGTAAAGCACAATAAAATAATTTCTCTAAGACTGTTACCTATTTAGAGAATACATATGTTGGTGAAGTATGAAATTTTTCAATTGATTTGTTTAAGTCTTAAGGAAAAGAGAATAGGAGGAAACTGAATTTTCTTGAGCATCTATTTAGCCAATGTATAGGAACTTGACATATTTAATCTTTCAGCACTCTGAAAAAATTGTCCTGTTATATAATGATAATGATACAAGGTAATAAGTAGTAATGCTGACAGGGTCTTTTTAACTTAAAAGCCCTAACTAATCTACAATTAATGGATGAGTAACACTGAAGTATCGCTTAAAAATATTTGTATATGGATAAATATACAATAAATATATGAGTAAATATCCGTTTAAATTTTGCTACTTTACCAAGGTAATTTAAGTAGTTTGAAACGTAAGGATAAAGTTTTTCGTGTTTCAGTGCATGGGTCTGTAATATCCCATCATAATTTGTATTTCATTTTTAGGTAAAACTCACTAAATGATTATTGTACTGCAACTGTAAAATGATAATCACATCTGTTTGGCATATCACTGGATTGACCAGCATTTGTTGGTCACATCCATTGAGACAAGATTTGCAGTCGCCAATTGCAGTATTCAAATTCTTGCATTTCTGAGATATAATGGGAAGTTTGTGTAGAGATTTTTGGTTATGCCTTTTAGTAGCTTAAAATCTCTTTGGAGGGAGAAACAGAAATGGCAGGAAGCGTGTTTTCTGGATAATTAATACAGAGTACATTGAACGCGTTACTGCTGAACTCTGGGACGGACGTGCCCGCTACACAGGAGGAGCTCAGTGTTCCTGTCCAGGGAGGCTCATGGCCAGTGAAAACAACCCTCTGCCTTTTCTGTGTGGTCAGTTATTTGCTAGCCCCTCTCTCATGGAAATGCTGACGATTAAGGTTTTCATATTCCTTAAATCCTTACAGGGGAAAGTAGTGAGCAGTGAGAGTAACATAAACGAATAATTGGCAAGAAATGCTAATCCGATTCCAAAGGTAGTTGGGTATTACAGTAATAAATCAAGGTGGGCCCGAAGTAATACTGTATTACAAACTTGTGTTTTGATCTTTGTTCTTACAAAAGTGATCTGTTGTCCTTGCTTTATCAGTGACAGGTTTGTAGGGTTTAAATTGTAGACTTTTCACCTCTTCTCTTTTCTAAATATGTACTTTAAAAGTAACTTTGAAAGCTAAGATTATGAATTTTTTTTTGTCAGGAATTTATGAACTATAGACTATTAGAGATAAATGACTCTTAGAGATCTCTAGCTTTGATCTCTACTTAATCATTTGATAGAGGATGAAACTCGGCCAAGGAAAGTGAGGTTAGTTACATAGCCAGGTGCGTAACCCAGGTATCTTGACTCCCAATTCAGGGTTCTGTTTTCACTGCCTAATACTGCCTCTTACTGAATCAGGCTTCAAGTCTGGGTATATGTCAGGGTTTAAGTTGAATTATTTAAGCAACAACAGTTTCACAGTCACTTTAGGGGAGGCGGTTGTAGCTTTTACCAGTTTCAAAGGAGTCTACGATTCATTACAAAGTTTAAAACTGTTTATCTATCTATCTATCTATCTATCTATCTATCTATCTATCTATCTATCTATCTATCTAACTATCTGTCTGTCTATCTATCTATCTATCTATCTATCTATCTATCTATCTATCTATCTATCTATCTATCTATGATCTCTACTCAGGAAGTTGGCATTTTTCCTAATTCTCATAAATGGTGGGAAAGAATTGGTCAGGGTGTTATTTTGGAGAACTATGTTATTAGAGTTCTTGTAACACTTGGGTGTAAGTCTGTGTCTTGCTCATTAATTGGAAACTAGGAGCCTTTGGGTCGTCCTAAATGAGTTGTGGTTATGATGAATTTGATCCTCAGATTGTGTTATGTCAGTTAACCACTTCCTGCCATGTCAGCCCTTCAGTTAGTATAGAAAAATATAATGGTTCATTTCTTAGAAACTGCTAATATTTTTAGGACAGGTATTTTTGCCGTTCATGATTGACTGACAGTCTGCATCATTTTTTGGAAATACTTGGCAAGTTTTTTAAAATCAACCTGGCAGATATTGGGGTAGAGAATCAGGCTTTAGAGCAATTTCCATTTTTCAAAAAGTTGAATGAAAATTGTATATTTTTCCACAGCATAAAGCCAAACAGTTGGACCCAAAAATAAAGATTCTCTCCTTGTGTCTGTAAATAAACTGAGGGACTTGCAGTTGACTATATACAGTGTCAAATACACATTGTCTTTTTTTTTTTTTCTGTGTTTTTTTTTAATTTCAGCATATTATGGGGGTACAAATTTTAAGGTTTCAATAAATGCCCATTTCCCCCCTCCCCCCAAAATACATTGTCTTTTTTATTTTTATAAATTAACAGAATTGTAACGGCTTGATAGGTACAGTAACTCAGTAATGGCGTCTTTGTAGGAAGGAAATAAAATCTTTAGTTGAGTAACATTTAGGAACTACTCTTACCATTACCTCAGACTTTGCTCAGCAATTGAGATTAGTAAAATAACTATGAAAGACGACTTCCGTGTTTGAAGGCTAACTTAGAGTGGCTGGGAAGGCCATGGTGGGGTTAAAAGCTGTATTTAAGCCTTGGAGGTGGCCTAGATTTCAATTTACTTTAGCAAATGTTTATGATGTTTTATTAACCAATAGAAATAAATGAAACTTTTTTTCGCTATTAATTTTTTCATCAAAAGAACAGTGAGTTTTAGAAAATGAAATCACTTCTTTACAGTTAGCAGAACTTGACTTGGTTTAAAATGTATCAGTAAAACAAAAGCCATTCCACCAAATTTATTATTGTAGCAGATGTCGTTTTTGGACATAGTACCTAGTATGTTTTGCAAAGTACTTGATGGCTTTTAAATGTTTTCCTTAATTGTTTTCTTCAGTGAGTATTTTCCCAGTCTTGTTGTTCTCTTTGCTTCATGCTGCCACGTATACGAAAAAGGTCCTTGATGTAAGTAAAACTATGCTATTTCTTTGATGCCTGGATTATAGATCTTTGACATGAATTTGACTTCTGAGACATTTTGGTGTTTGTCATAAAAAGTCTGTATTGCTTACAAACTTGTTAAAATTTTTTTAGTGATTTGAAAGTTTTAAGTTTAGAAGTTTTTATTGTTGAAGTTTCACAAATGGGTATATTTTGTAAGTTAAAGGATTGCACTTAAAATTATTCCCAGGTCCCCAGAACAGTTTTTGAAGTTTGAAATAGATCTCTTATCTTTTAAAAAAAATAATTATTTCTTAAATTTGATGAGTTGTCAGAAATCTCTTGTTCTCTCAGTGTTTAATTCTAACATACCAGATAATTAGAGTGTGCTGAATCTCTTTTACACTAATGTTTAGAACTACTGCTTTCCCGAAAATTTTTTTTTTAATTGCTGATTTGGAACATTAAGCCTGTCTTTAGTGTGTGGTAGATTTACTGCATATGCACTGAAATTTGAATTAAAATATCCAGATTTATGCCTTGTGTTATTAGCCTTTTTCTTTTTTCCTGTAATTCTTTGGTCACAGAAGTAATTAGACTCTAATTTCTACTGTTAGTTAGCTTAGGAGTCACAGGTATTTTACCTTTATTTACTGCATAATCCAATTTTGTTGTGATTGGACAGAAATAACCACCACTTTTTGGTGAAATAATCTAATCTTTCTTAAGAAAAATAAAATAAGAAAAAGTACTTTAGTACTAAAGTTATTTTTTTGGTTAAGTCATTAAACACACAAAATAGAGCAGGAAAATACACTAACATTTTGTCCTTAAATAGTTTGTAAACTTTTATACCATCTTTTCCAAATAATTGGCTTTTGGTTGTATTGCCTGTTGGGTATACTAGTTATCTAAAGAAAGAAAATAATTGAGTTAATCAAAAGTGTTTCATTATTTCTAATGTTTGTTTTCTTTTGTTTTAGGCAAAGGGTTCAAATAGTTTACCTCTGCTGAGATCTGTCTTGGATAAATTAAGTGCTAATCAACAAAATATTCTGAAATTCATTGCTTGTAATGAAATATTCTTGATGCCTGCTACAGTTTTTATGCTTTTTAGGTAAGAAAAAAATACATTTGTTTTGGAAGGCTGATGACTAAGTAAACATAATAAAGATATGAATTCGAGTTTTGTTCTGCTTAAATCTGTTGAAGTAGGGTAGGTAGGTAGCATGTAGAGCCAGATGGATCTTAGCTATCACCTTAACTAACCCTTGCCATTTTGTAGTAGAGAAACTAAAACAAAGTTAACCTAGGAATTTGTCTTATTTTATCATTCCTTGTGATTTATTATTTGAAAGGTAGTAATTTTGAAAATTACTACCTTTGAAAGAATCTTAGGAACTAGAATCTTAGGAACTCTACTGTGCCATTGTTGAGATGATTTTTCTTATACTAGAGAAAAATCTTAAAAATTATGGTCTTGTGTTAATAGTTGCCTGGCATTGCCTCCTTATTTTGTTTGTATCTTAGTTATAGACATAAT